ACAGTGCCAGCATCGCAGCCAATACGGTGGCAAGAATCTAATCCAGCTAACAATCCAACAAGAAAACAAGCATCGTGTGCCGCCGGCTTAAGAGTAAGAAATTGGCCAATCACAGTCGATTATTCTTCTCATATTCGACTGTGATTGGTTAATTACTTACTCTTACTTCTTACTCCGTGTATTGTAGACGGGCCTTCAGGCGTCGTCTACAATACACGGAGTAAGAAGTAAGAGTAAGAAATTGACCAATCACAGTCGATTATTCTTCTCACATTCGACTGTGATTGGTCAATTTCTTACTCTTACTTCTTACTCCGTGTATTGTAGACGACGCCTCAGAACGCGCTTACGGGTGCCGTCATATGCGGCGTAACCTGCGTAAGGCCTGTTCTACAATATAGTCGTAAGCGGTAAGCCGTAAGAAATTAACCAATCATAGCCGATTATTCTTCTCACATTTAACTGTGATTGGCTCATTTCTTACGGCTAACAACTTGCGACTCTATTGTAGAACAGGCATAAGCGTAATCTGCGTATTCTAGTAATTTACTAGAATACGTTATTTTTTATTTACTAGGGCTGCGTTCAGATACTACCATAGACTATGGATACTACACTCGGGAGCACCCAAGCTCCTGAATGCCGTTCAGAAACCAATTGAGAGTATCTCATCGTTACCTAGGTGGCCCGTTCAGAAACGTGTCGGGTGTTCCCGATCAGGGGCTCTATTCTTGAAAAGAAACGTATGCGAAAGTCTAGGGAAATGCTACAGTATACGTTACGTATACTATAGTATTTCCCTAGACTTTCGTATACGTTTCTTTTCAAGAATAGAGCCCCAGGAGACTTTTACACCCAGATGCTCTATTCTTGAAAAGAAACATATACGAAAGTCTAGGGAAATGCTACAATATACGTTAGGTATACTATAGTATTTCCCTAGACTTTCGTATACGTTTCTTTTCAAGAATAGAGCCCCTGCTCTTTTGCTAGGCTGCGTTCAGAAACATCACCCGAATGCCCCCGCGTATCGTATTATCTTTTCACTCAGTGTTAAACAAGGATAAGATAATACACGGTGACACCCGGATGATGTTTTTGAACGCAGCCCTAGGTGGAAAGTCTCTCGATCGAGTAGACACACAAAGCGCGGGAAGTGAAACATGGGCTGCGTTCAGCAAACTCAGCAGTTTTACAACCGT